AGCTTCAACTCTGCATCCAATCTCTCCTTCTCAAAGGGACGTCGAGGTTTCTTAAAGGTCTTCCCATCTGATTACACACCAGAGTCGCAAATCAACATAGGCTTAAAAACCCTTTTTAGTTTGTGATATACCAGTAACGTCTGCCCAATCCCCCAAAAACCCCAAAACCCCACCCACCCCTCAAAAAAGAGGAGCTACCAGCCTAATAAGCTGAGACTGCTGATCTGGTTTCCCACTGTAAAGGAAAGAGTAATACAATACAACCAAACAAAGAGTTCTAAATTTAGAGAGTCTACTCTTGTTTTTAGGGAAATTTCAAAATGAAATCTTTTAACCAAACTATTGGATTTCTTACTGTACTGTGGGAACTGTCACTTAAGCTGAAAATACCATCACACTACACCTAAACGTTAAAAATGAAACAGAATGATTAGCAAGCCTTCAACTTTTCTGTTTTTGATAACACTTTATTCATTAGCAAATAAGAAGAAATCAACTAGTGTTTTTTGCTCCACTAGGATATGAACCTGAAATCTCTTGGTTCTCCTCCCATTTCACTGACGATATTTTTACATTTTCTTGATTGGCTCTACCACTTTATCCTCAGGCCATAATACTATCAGAACAGACTTTAGCTTTGCTTATATTCAAACTACTATCAGCATTACCACAAGGTTACAGCAGTGACTACTCAAACCCTAACTTAAGTTTGATCCACTCAGCTCCATTTGGAGCTGATTTATTCCAATACTCATTAATTTATATTTTAACTCAAACTAGGGGTTTCTAACACTAAATGCTCTCCACATTTATCATTGATATACAAATTTCTAGAAAACTAAAAGATCTTTTGACAAATACAGAACTTAATAATAGGAAATGAACCAATGAGATTAAGGAAACTTACAGTTGCGGTAAAAGGCGACGTGTACCATGTTTACCGGTCGACGGCGCCGTCTTCAGATCGGCTACCTGCTGAAAATGAAAGCAGAAACTGATAGAGTTTAGAGAGACACTAGGGTTTGAATATAATGAAGTTCTGCGGCTGCCTTATATATAAATTGTCCCCAAAGCCCAACTTAAATGGGTTGTAATAGTTTGGATTTAAAATTTTCGACCCAATTGTGTGTGTAGCGGATGAAAGCATTGGCCCAAATGAGAAATTGCTGGGAGATTTGCACAAATAGTCTCGTTTATTTTCACGGGGTACCCTATTTGGACACCGCTAGTTATCTTGTAACCAGTTTTTAAAAATATTTGGACTACTACCCACTTCTGAACTATTTCAGACATGTAATATCTTCATTCTATCCACCTTTGGGGAAAAAATAAGTTTAGTCGTGATGAGCTAAACTTGGTACTATTTCCATTCAATCTATCTTGTTAAATTATTTGCAAGTTTAGCCCCCATGAACTAAATATTCATATCTTTATTATATATATTAGTCTCAGAGTACGCGTAAAATGCATGTCTTCCGTTGATTACACAATAATTTTAAAAATAATGTGATTGAGTTATAGATAAAAAGTAAATAAAAAAGTATTAGTTTAATGATTATAAAATTTGTATGGAAAAATAAATTTGAAAACACATAGTTTTTAAAATCATTTGTTTAAGATAAAAATATAAATTAGATGTATAATTAGTTAATGTTATTTTAATTACTTGTACTCTTAATTTGTGAATTCACATATTTTTCTATTCTTTAGTTGTAGATTATAGTTCCTTTGGTTCCTTTATTTTATTTCTTCACCTGTTTTTTATCCATAGTTCCTTTAGCCCTTTGTTTTATTTCTTCACCCATTTTTTTGACCTTTAGTGGTAGATTATAGTTCACGTTAGTTCCTTTAATTTAATTCGTCACATGTTTTGTGACCTTTAGTGGTAGTTTATAGTTCTCGTTAGTTCCTTCATTTTATTTCTTCACCTGTTTTGTAAACTTTAGCGGTAGATTATATTTTGGTAATCCATTGTATCTTTGGTCGCTTGTTTTCGGGATAGTGCTTGCATAGTGACTCATAGATTATAGTGGCTTTGGTGAACGATGGTAGTGTAAGGTCTTGTCCTCGGGGGTGTCAGCGTAGGGGAGGAGATGCGGGGGGTAAGGGGGCTAAGGGTGCTACTAGGTTGAGAGTGGGGTCTTGGAACATAGGAACTTTGACTGGAAAATCTGTAAAGCTAGAGAAAATTCTCGAGAAAAGGAAGCTTAATATAGCTTGTGTACAAGAGACTAGGTGGGCAGGAGATAAGGCGCGAGATGTGGGCAGTTTCAAGCTTTGGTATTCTGGGAGGTTGGGGGCAGGAACGGGGTAGGTATCTTGGTTAAAAACGACCTTCGTGAATTAGTGGTGGAGCTTAGGAGGGTGAATGACAGACTGATGACTATTAACTAGTTGTTAGTGGTTTTACTTTGAACATAATCAGTGCGTACGCACCCTAAACTGGCTTGGATCAGGAAGTCAAGAGGCGTTTTTGGGAGGACTTAGATGAGATGGTGTGTGGTATCTCGCACACCGAGAAGCTTTTCATAGGAGGAGATTTCAACGGCCACATTGGAGCGACGCCTGAGGGGTATGATGATGTGCATGGTGGCTTTGATTTTGGAGATAGAAACTAATGAGGAACGTCTCTGCTAGACTTTGCTAGAGTTTTTATTTGGTGATAGCAAACTCGAGTTTCCCGAAGAAGAGGGAGCACTTGGTCACCTTTCAGAGTTTGGCGATCGAGACTCAAATTGATTATGTACTTCATAGGAAGTCCGATAGAGGTCTTTGCACGGATTGCAAGGTCATCCCAAGTGAGAACCTCTCGACCCTTCATAGGCTCCTGGTCATAGACCTTGAGATCACGAGGAAAAGAAGGAAGAGGGTGATGTATAGCCAACATAGGATAAAGTGGGGAGCCTTGATGGAAGTTAAAGCGCAGGAGTTAGGGGTCAAGCTGGTGACTATGGGGGCTTGGAGAAGTAGTGGGGACGCAAGCGCTATGTGGACCATGACTGCGCAGTGCATTAAGGAAGTCGTGAGAGAGGTATTAGGGGTCTCAAAGGGTAATTCTGGTGGTCACAAGGGAGATTGGTGGTGGAATAGAGAGGTGCAAGGAAAAGTGGATACCAAGAAAGCAGCATATCTAAAGCTAGTGAAAAGTGTAAACGAGGAGGAGAAAAGGGCGAATAGGGAGCATTATAAGTTAGCTAAGAAAGAGGCTAAGCTAGCAATTACGGCAGCAAAGACTGCAGCTTTTAGTCGACTATATAAGGAACTCAAGGGCCCTGGTGGGGATAAGAGGTTGTTCAGGTTAGCCAAGGCGCGAGAAAGGGCGTGACTTGGACCAAGTGAAGTGCATGAATAACGAAGAATGTAGAGTTTTGTTGGATGAGGAGCTTATCCGTCGGAGATGGAGGACCTACTTCCATAGTCTCTTGAACGAGGAGGGGGACAAGAGCATTGTACTAGGTGATTTGGAATTTTCCGGGAGTCATTGTGACTTTGGGTATTGTAGGCGGATTAGAGTTGATGAAGTTGAGGGTGCTATGCGTAAGAT